GTGGTGATTATATACTAGTGCACTGTTGATGTTAAGGATGCAAATTTTAAGATTTAAGAGAGATAGCCAGTGGATTAACCGTTAACTTACAGAATTGGTACCCATGCAGTATTAACCACTTTTAATCAGTCATCACAAGACTGATTTTTTAGAAGATACAGAATAGTTCTCTCTCTCTTTTTCTCACTCACTCACTCTTACATGCACACACACTTGACATACTTTAATAGCAGTGAAGAATTACCTAAATAGAGAACAATGGAGAAGGCCAGGTTCCACTATCTTAGCTTTCTGCAAAGGCAGAATCACTGCACTTTCAGTATTTTCACTTGCCTACTTGGATGAGAGTCCAAAGAATGTAGGGGAGGATTGGATAGTCAGATAGTATCCCTAAAGAAGACAATAGCAATGAATACCCCTATGCAATGCCAGGAATCTAGCCCAACCTTTTCCTTTTAATACTATCAAAGGCAAAGCATCACATCTGGCAAAAAGATACTACTAGATAGCCACTGTCTTTAGCTAGCATAATGTGAAATATCTGCAGATGGCTTCAATCTGCTTTTCACACCCATTAGTAGAGAAGAATTGGTATTAGCGCTTAGATTTGAATCGCAAATTGGAATCCCGTACATGCTGTTTAATCACTTTCCTTGACCCTCTTCTTGACCAAGGGAAATTCCATTTTCCTTAGAGAGCCCATAGAAGTGAAGCTTATCTGACAAAATTCTGTCCCAGACAGACCTGGAATTATCAGCTAGGATTAAAAGAGTTAGATGGGTCAGGGGAGAAATCAATTTAGACTAGAGATCAAACAGATAAAGCCAAACCTAAGCCTTTATTGAATCCAGTTTCTGAGTGTAATAGAGCATTTGGTGCAAACCTAGGTATAACTGAAATTGATGGAAGAAATCTAGTCTGGACATCCTTGAATGGACCATTATCTTTAGGTATATAAATTTGAGCACTGTATTAACTGCATTATTACCTCTCCTCCAAAAGCTTTAAGAGCTGTAGGGATATAATAATCACCTTCCAACTTGAAATACCTGTGAACAGCAACAGCATTTCTCAAGGCATTTTCAGCTAAATAATTGATACATGCTCTCCGTGGTGTTGAAGGTTGAATAACATCCCCGAGTTATTTATAGAACCTCACTTGTTCAATCTGATTGTTAGGTGGAGGATGTTAAAACTATAAGATCATTCAGAGAAATCCAATTCAACTTTGGAAGATCTAAATGTTTGATTTAAAGGGCTGACTTATGGGGTACAGGTACATGTTTGCTAAACTAGGGGCTGGCTGTGGTGAAGGGAGAACACTAACCTCCTTTTGAGTAAACCACAACAGCAGAGAATGAGTGTCTGCAGGCTCAGGGACTACAGGAGGTCTGGCTAGAAAATATACCTTCCTGGTTAGTTGAGGATTTAGCATGCCTAATCATGACATTTCTACCCTTAGCTAACCAAAAGATTGTAGCTATGATTTGTAGTAAGTTTATTTAATGTATGTTCTCTGGTTAGGTGAAAATGTAAGTAGTACAGTATGTGCCCCATCTTAGACAATATGCTAAGCCCTAAACTAGCCACTGATGGGAGCCACGTTGTTCATCAGAAATAGCATGTCATGTAAAATGTGCACCCATAATATCAAAGATAGCTGTCTGCAAGGTGCATTTTCTTTGCCCTGTTCAAGGGATTGATGTTATCAGCTTATAAAAGAACAAGATTTGTTCAATGAGCTGTTCTTTCTTTTTCTGCCTTGAACAGTCTCTCCCAGGCTGTCCCATCTCTGTCTTCAGGCCTTTACTTTTCTAGATTACGGAGCTGAAGGACAGACTCGTTCTTTGCTTGTTGGTGCATCCTTTTGGGGTCCATCTGTCCTGCATCTTTAGCAAGATTGAACAGAGGTGTGAATAGTTATGGCAATTCCTAAATCTGATCCGTTGTGTCTGCACAGTAAACTTAAATTGCCATCCTCTGGTACATAATGTGGAAGAAGATAGTGTTCTGAAATCTTTGCACAGAAACTTGATTGATTGCTACCTAAGTTTCTGTGGATGACAAATACATTTCTACTGAGAGCTAGAATTTCTATCACTGATCTAACCAGAATGACTATTCATGGCTTAAATCCCATCCTTATCTTATTTGTAGGGCCCACAATTTTAAACTATAAGGTGCGAAATGGTTGAAAAGTATGAGTGACTGCAGGTCCTTCCTTTTGTGCCTGCTAAAAGGAATTTACAATATCTGTAGGGTATCCAGGTCTGGGGTCATATCCTTTATGTTGCCACTCCATTTGGATAATCAGGTATTACCCTAATGCACCCAGGGTTGTCCCTTTCCAGCCATTGACATCTCAGGCTTATTTTACCAAGTCTGCCTGGTAGACATTCCTCCACATGTTTCAAATTTTATTTTGAGGATCTGTGGCCTTCCCCCAAAATACGGATTTCAATTCCCAGAATTCTGTGCAGTAGTCATGTTGGCTAGTGATTCTGGGCGTTGAAGTTCACACAGTTGACAGTGGCTAGATTGTGGAAGGCCAGTCATGGATTTTGCTTTTATGACTCCGGTTTTAAAATAATTAGGTATGGACTATGCTTTCCATTTAGTAGATAGATTAGAGAGCCATCTAATTTTGCAGTCTCACCCAAATCAGATAACTGGATGCCACTGAGAAAACTATTGGAGAAGCCTGTTGCTCCAAATGAAACCACATCATTCTGTTTCCCTCATTTATTAGAGCTGTAGTTCAGTAGCATGTGGACAACCACTGTTGTCTACTGCTTGAGGACCATAACCCATCCTCTTCAAACTTCCTTGAGGGCACTAGCCTGGCTTCTTTCAACTTGGCCTACGCATCGTTGCCATCATTAGCCATGGCAGCTGGGGATGATGGAAACAAGTAGCAAGAGAGATTGGGAACATTGCAAAGCTTCCCCCTTCACTGCTGTTTCTGCATCAGTAGCATTCATTGACTCTATAAAAAACCTCACATTCATGCCAATGTGATTAATCACCATGGAACAGCCTACTCGCCATGAGTGTAACTACTATGTCTTGGGGCAGTGAATTTCATGAATTATACATTGCGTGAAGATATAATGCTACTGAACTGCATCTATTTCTGTTCACTTGATTGGTCAAACTAGTCTTAAGCTCTTGGAGCGGGTGGGGAGATAGAAATCTATAAAATAAATAAAAAATACATATAAGAGAAAAATGAAAAGAAAAAAAAAGCTGTCTGCTTTCTTCATAGTCATGCATAATTATCCAAACTGCTATTACGTTTCAGCCTTTAGTTACTAGCTGCTATGATTTATCCACTTGCACCCTGCGTGAGAAAATGGCTCAGTGGCCCATTAAATGTCTGCAATGAGCAGATTTTGTCACTGTTCATTGACAACTGAGTCAGTAGCTGGGTTCATATATCTCACTCATTTGGTTTGGTTTTGGCAGTCCTCTTGGGGAGAGGTTATATATCAAAAAGCACAACTCTCAGAAGGTCAAGTTGACCTTAGGAGCTGCTCTCTTAAAAGTAGGTGGCACAGGGAAGGGTTCAGATTGCAAACCCCTGCTTTAGATGAACCAGATGTGAGAAATGTACCTGTTTTGCCCCAAACACCTTGCGTCTTTCATTTGACTTCCTGCACCTAAAATTGATTGCCCATTTGTGTTCATGACTGTACCCAACCAGGTCACAGCTGATTAAATCCTAAAATCCCCTTGTCCTTAGCCAAGCCTAGGTGCTACCTGATCCAAAGAGATCCCAGAGTGTTTTACAGAGATCAGATATCCAGAGAATCCTCCATTGGAAAAATCTATCCAAATGGTATTGACAGGCCACTTTCCCTTAAATTCTCAGAGCAGAGAGATACAGATGTTACATTAGGTCATGCCCCTGTGTCCATTGGAAAGATGTGGTCACTGTTTCTCATCATTTCTTACTGTTTCTTTCCATTTCTTATCATTGCTAACCATCTCATCATTTCCTGCCATCAGCATCTGGTTTGAACTGAAAGTATCTTCATTTTCATTTCTACTGTAACACACGTTAATTCTCTTGTTATGAAACAATAAATCTATTTTGTCCTGTAAGAAACCCTAGAATAGTATGAGTTAAACTGCCAGTTAAATGGGATTCAGATACAGTTCTCATAAGAACAGAACAGCCACCTCCAATGTGTTCCTGTGATTGACCTGGCTATGAGGAGAAGCTGGGTTAAGGTGCCTGTTTCTTCACTCATGGAGAAGATAGAAAGCCACCTTGCAAAAGATTGGATTGTTGGCTCATTTAGCTCAGTGTGGTTTTTCTAAGCCTGTATTCCCTAATGTGATGATTTCCCATAGGGGATTCGAATAGTGTGACAGCCAGCACCCATGAGAATCAGTGTGGTATAGTGGTTAAAGTGTTGGATTAGAAGTGGAGAGACGCAAGTTCAAATCCACTCTGTAGATAATAAAGATGACCTTGATGGAGACAAGCCAGATCCATTTCCAGAACTACAAGGGGAAAAGCGCGACTCAAGCCCAAAACAACCTGAGGAAAGAAGGAAATGGTTCAGACACTACCTTAGTTTCACAGGTGTATGGGGCAGGGGAGGAGTATAGCAACATCAGACTTGCAAAATTCTGTCACCATAGCCAATATAATAAAGTAGTTTTAACCTTCTTGTTACTTTCTTGGTCTGGTCTACCTGGTGGAACTGACTCTCAGCCATGGACTCTCACTGGACAACTTTAGGCTAGTCACTGTCTTAGAGCTCAACTTAAGTACGATGTCTTGAGCTCATGAATGAAAGATATACATTTAGTAAATATGAATAAATGTGGGAGGGCACCATTTTGTGAAACTCTGGGTGTTTGATAACCAGTAGTGCTTTTTCAGGATTTCACAGGGGTTGAACCCAGAATCTTTTGCACACGACGCCTCAGTGCAATTGCTGGTATTCTGTTTAAAATCTGATCTACCTTTTTTTCTCCTCCCTCTTTAGTATAAAAAAGATGGCTCTACTGTAACAAGTTACTGCAACGAGACTCTACCAGGCTGGGTGCATGATGTCCTGGGCCGTAACTGGGCATGTTTTACTGGATACAAGGTCTCCTCTTCAGGTTCCGAAGTTCACGTACATCAGCTGCCTCCTTGGAAAAGCTCTAGAATGTGAGTCTTGCTTAGCAAAATAGCACAAAAGGCATGCCCTGTTGTAATTCAGAAGATTGCAGTCTATTCAGCTGGTTTTCCTTCAGGCCACTATGGTAACAGCGATTTTTGCATTTTGGTTAAGTGTCTCCTCAGCAGACAGTCCCCTTCTATAATATGTCAATTTTTTTAGGAGACCAGATCAGATACCGTTCAAGGGGCATTATTCAGCACAGCTCAACATCCACATTTGTTGGGTGATCTTCTTGAGAAGAACTTATCTTCTTGAGAAGAAGATATGGCAGACCCTGTAAGGATCACAGTAAAAGGGGAAAATGTGACAGAATTCTTGTTCATTGGTTTTTGCTTTCATTTAGTTATCAAATTTATATACTGCTGAATCGTCAATAATCACAACAGCTTATAACGTGCTAAAGTGCAATAAAAACATCTCAATAGAAGAAAATATTCAAAATGCAACACTTTACAATAAGAGTAATGTAATAGAAAATAGATGTTCAAGTAGCAATAATCACAATCATTCCCCCAAGGCTCCCTGAAAAAGCTCCATCTTTAAAAGCTTCCAGATGGTCATCAGAGAAGGTGCCAGTCTAATTTCTAGAGGGAGACTCTGGCCTCAGATCAACTTACTTCATGAATGACAAACGGCTTCTTCTGGGAGAACCTCCTCGGACAGACCAAGGTCCTATAAGTACTTGAATGCCAATCCATATAGGGCTTTATCAATCAAAACTAGGGTCTAAGAATCTGTTGGCAAACAAGGCAGGGACTGCAAAATAGATGTAAGATGTTCATACCTATTAAAAGCGGTGAGCAAGTGGGCTGCTGCATTTTAAATTAACTGCAGTTTCTGAATGTTCTTCAAAGGCAGCCCCACATAGAGGGCATTGCAGGAATCTAACTGTGTGTGTAAGGGCATGAATCACTGTAGCCAGGGCCTTCTGCTGCAGGAAAAGCAATAACGGGTGCCTCAGATGAAACTGGTTAAAGGTCCCCTTGGCCACACATTCACCTGCCCATCTAGCAGTAGCCAGGAGAGCCCCAAGTCACAGATCTGCTCCATCAAGGACAGTGCCACCACGCCTTCAAGAGCCAGTAGTGGAGCTGGCAAAAACCATGATGAATAGTCAGTAAGTCCATCTTGCTTATTTTTGTTTTAGCCTATTTCACCCATCCAGATCCCAACAGCTTCCAGCACCAAGACAAGACTTAGACAGCAAGATTATTCTGCCCCAGAGAAAAATGAGTTTCCCAAGCTCCATACCTGAGACCCCCATCAAAATCTCTCATGAGGACAGTATCCTGGTTCATCCAGTGACTGAATGCACATGGCACACTATTGTTGGCTTAACATTAGCCAAAGAAACGCACCCAACTAATGTGCCCCAGACAGCACAACATATAATAGTGAACTCCATCAGTATGTCTGCCTGGTTATGTTTTAGAGAAGTTTGGGGGCTGAATTTTGGTGTAGTTAGGTTGTAATTGTAAAAACTGGGCTTTAGTTAAGTAATTTGCAACCCTTTCACTCCAGAGTTCAACAGAAGCCCCACGTGACCAGCTACGACTTTGTGAAAGCCATCAATGCTGTTCAGAAATCATGGAGAGCAACTGCCTACAAGGAATACGACAGGCTTACTTTAGAAGATCTCACTCGGAGAGCTGGTGGGATAAGTTCCAAAGCTCCAAGGTAAAGACCCTAGTTTTGAAGGCATAAACCTAACTAGTGCTGCTTCCGGGATCTCATGCAATCAAACTTGGCTCTAATCAAAATGCTTCATGCAAGCTGTTAATTTTAAACCCTAAAGGGCCTAAAATAGTGTCTTCACCGCCCAGTGATGTCATCACATTGCCACCATTCCTATCCAGTCCTTGACCACTGGGGGGAGAAAATTAAATAGAACATCCTGGCTCTCAAAGATGTTCCTACAAAGAACATAATAGAGGAGGGCTATCTTTTTTATTGGACCTGAATAAAAAGATAAATTGTTAACAAATCCTTAATTCAAGTTGGGGCTGGGCAGATCCTCCTGTGCAGCATTTCTTTCTCTATAATGCAGGGGTATAGATTCTTTGCCCCCGTGGGCCACATAAAGCTCCCCCAAATCCAAAGGGTAGCCTTCACCATTCTATAAGGTGTGTTGGCCAACTGTAACTTCCTACATGACAAAGGAAAATGATTCAGTACATTTGATCCAATTTAATTTTTATTCTGGCCCCATCACTTCTTTTCCTGGCCATACCCATGACCTGCAGTGTGGCCTTGCATGCCACTCAAATTACAAGTGTATCCTGAGCCCCCCAACAATTTATGGTCATGCTGCAAAGGATCAGGTGGGCATCCACAATGGACTGTAGTCATCTGACCAAGAAAAGGGTCAGAATGGGCTTCTGCTCTCCTCTTAGCAATCAGAAGCTGAGAATGAGAACTCAGCTCTGAAGGCCCAGGGTCTCTACCTTTTCCACTTCATTCCCAGGAGATTTCTAAACCTGTTTGTTTCTTGTGCCATCCAAACCCACTTTTGTTTATTTGCTGTTTCAAACTCCAATGGGTACCATTGTACTAGGAATGAGATCTTTGTTTCTCATCTTTCACCATCTAGGATTAGAGCACTGAAGGATTAATCAGTCTAAGACACTGCATTATGTCATAGACCAATAGTTTCCAGAAAGAATGCCACAATGGTCTGTGATGCAAGTGCCAAAGTAAATGGCTGAATGCACATGAGATGGCCAAACCATGAGAACACTGAAACTTCACAAAATTTTGTACACTTCCAAGATGTTGGCCATTGTTTAAAAAAAAAAAGTGTTTTATTTAATTTGGGAATCTTGTGCTTATCAGTGAGTAGATTTAGGCAGAGAGATGTGTAATGGAGCCCATAGATACTTTATTATTGACTTCTGACTTATTTCGTGGTCTACAAAAGCTTCAGATGATGTTGGTGATGTAAACATCCAGATAAAAGAAAAGGTTGTGGACTGTGCATTTCTTCAAGAGCTACATCTTCTCTGGAGGAAAGAATGGGTGCGGCAAGCTTTGACCAATGCAGTTTTCTGCATTTTAGCCAGAGGCACTCAAGAACAACAACTTGGCATTAAGCAGGCAATGATAAACCTCACTCAGCACCAACTCATTAACCTCTGGTATTTTTTGCGCTTCAAACACCTACTTGGGCACATGTTAAGGTGGGAAAAAAATATCCCACGGGATGGAGACATTAGGTATAATTTCCGTTCCTTGGTCTCTGCAGCTAAACTCTACCCGTTGCCAAAGGCAATTTTATCGTGAACTGTTGAGCAATTGAAAATCATCACACTGTTTTAAGCACTCTACAATAACTTTAAAAGCGAACATTTGTGACCAGCATTACAGTCCTTGTTGGAAATGTGTTCAATTTTACTAAAGGCTTCTTACTTTAGCCCCTAAAATGAAGCATTTACTCAGGAGGGCAAAAGTACCAATATCTTTTTTTATATGTTTGCTGTGATTTTATTATACCCCTGCATATAACAAGACAGTTCCTGTGGGAGAACCTTGTGAAGAATTTTCCGCTACCTTTCTAACGTACGCTGGTAAGACCTCAGACAAAAGAACGTGAAGCTCGTAGCTATTAATTGTTCTATTTGCCAGATTTGAAATATGCCAGTGTACACATTCCTTTTATTTCTTGTAGACCAAAACCTGCCCCTCTGACCTCTGAAATAATCAAAGAGGCTTCCAGTCTGCCAGAATCCTGGGACTGGAGAAATGTGAATGGTGTGAATTACGTCAGCCCTGTACGAAACCAAGGTGGGTTCTGTCTTCCCAACCCTGCTGACTTAACTGTTTTGCAAAGCATAACTCTTATAAAAACCAATGTCCTTTTGTAGGCGTTGATTTAGTTCTGTAGTTTTACGTGCGTGCATGTGTGCGTGTTAGGAATCATTATTAGGCTCATGAAAAACCCTGGGAGTCCCTCATTGGCCCTTAGGAGGAGAAGGAGTTATACGTTTATTTGTGGCAGGGTTAGCCTGTCAACTGCAGAGACAATTCAGCTCCAAATAGCATATTTACCGTGTTGGAAGTAAGCACTAGTCTTGAGATAATGTTACTGATATTGTATTGACCAAGAAACAGATTGCCAGGTTTCCAATTCCTTTTTAACTTCCCCCTTTCGTACCTGTTGTCTGTCCCTTACCACATACTTGGACATACTATGAACATACTATGAAGTAATGGTATGTGGGACGAGACCCCGCCTAATTCCCCTATGAATGCATTCTCTTGAGAGCTGTGTTCAGCCCCATTCTCTCAGCCTCTCCAAAATCTGTAAAGCTGCACTTCTTTCAGCAAGTTTTGGTTGCTCAATGATTTCCTGCCAATTTTTAATTCAATTGAATTTTGATTTTAATTTGTGTTTCTAACATTTTCTATTCTGTTTTCATTTTTACATTTTTGTTACCTGCCTGGCGTAATCACCCAAGTAGAAAGGTGAGGTAAAAACATAAATGACCAATTAATAAATATTGGAGTGAATTGTAAGCATTATTCTAAATGCCTTGATTCATTCTGGAATTGTAGCCTATCAGAAACTTGGAACTTCAGTCTTGTGGACCCAGGCTGGTATCTGCTATCATTTTTACTTTCTCAAGAAATTGGCACTAAGCTGGGGAAATAGGAACCTATATTATTGCTTTTTTATGGCCCATGTTCAACAGACCCAAGGCCTGTTGAACATGGACCATAATAGAGCAATAATATAGGTTCCTATTTCCCCAGCCTAGTGCCAGTTTCTTGAAAGAACAGCTTATATTGCCTTTCTTGTCTGAGATGGTCAAGTGTCTTTGCCTTGCAGATTTAGAAGAACCCACCTTTTATGTACTCTGGCTTATGGGAAACACCAATAATGTAAACATATCAGTTCAGAGGTACATGGGAATGAAGACATCTGTTCCTGATCACAGTGACGCCAAAGTGACAAAACATGCCTTGTGATGACATGATGCAAATTCTCCCCTTTTGTACTTGCATTGTGATGTTCCCCAGAAGTACATGGAGTTTGTGTTGTGATGTATCTTTCAGCGGTTGCTCCCCTTCCCTTTCCCCCAACCAATGGATCCCTAGGCTTGGAAAAGGCGATACTTTATAAACAATCTTGCTCCCATTCCTACATTTTTCATTCTGGGTGTCAGGCAACAAGAAGCAGGTCTCTACTTTTACTGCAGAAGTGAGATGATTAAACTAAAATAGAATTTGTATAGGTGTAATTTTTGAGTGGGGAAAATGCATCTCCTCCTGGTTGTTCCCATCTTTTTCACACTAGGCAGTTTGGCTTTTTAATACCTCCCCAAGTCCTTGGTGTCCTTTCTTTTCTATTTGTGTGCAAGGTACTTGGAATAAGCCTCTGGTGAGAGAGAAGTACAATTAAACTGCCTTTGGCCAGCAGGAAGCTGCATTGTTCCACCACAACATTATGTCAGGTTTCAAAAGTTCTCGCTCAATTACCAGAAATTCCAGTAGCGAACGAGAAAAGGCTGAATAACCTTCTTCCACACAATGCAATCCTCTCTCCCTGTTTTGTTGCTAAGCAGCTGATAACAGCAGCATTTCAGGGCTTCTAAAAGGTTGGGATGTAAGGCAGGCTTCTTAGCAGTTAATGTAGTTACTTTATTTTTTAAGAAAATTTGGTGCCTACACAACGTTCAGAGTGTAGAGACAGAGAAAGGAGACTGTGATTTAGTTCGATTGAAGAGTCCTGAATGATTCTTCCTCCTCTTCTTTTCTCCACTCTCCCTTTTTCCCCCCTCTCTGCCAACAGCAACTCTTTCCCAACATGCAATTTGATCCTGGCTCACAGCTAGGGAGTTTCTGGTTACGAACAAGCTCAATGATTGGCTGACCTTATTCCTTCATTCTTGTCCACAGGCTCCTGCGGCAGCTGCTATGCATTTGCTTCAATGGGCATGCTGGAAGCCAGGATTCGTATCCTCACCAATAATTCTCAGGCTCCAACACTGAGCCCCCAGCAAGTTGTTTCTTGCAGTGAATACTCCCAAGGTAAAGTAGGGTGGGTGGCATCTGGGTTTTTGAATTCACCAAGGACTGAAGGGTAGGTAGAAGATGAGGGTAGGTTGTTCAATATGTGCACCCCAAAAGATATGCCCGCGCATCATGTTGGTAGAAAGATGGAGAAGGGAAACCTTCTAGCATGCAGTGACAATGCAGCTAGTGCATAGAACTGATAACTGAGTTGGCCATTGTGATGGGCATTGACATGAAGGCCATGCAGTATTTTGGATTCAGGTTGGAAGACAAGCTTCGGAACATGTGGAAGTACAAATGAGCACCTGCCTGCTACTCATTAAAGCAGCCATGTCTGTCTCCAGGATTGCACTGCAAGAGCTGTGTTCATAATCCTGCTTATTCTGAAGCATCTCTTCCACAATCAAATCTGAAGCCTTAGTCAGCATGGTGCTAAAGAACAACTGAAGGAACCAGAGGACAGGACTGGGAAGAAAAAACTAGGGGGTGATGACCTTGCACACTCTTATGGCCCTGTTGATCCAGTTTTTTCATTCTGAAAGATACTTGCTCTCTATTGTACTAGCCTTCGTAATAAGCCCTTTGAGACTTCTTCAAATTCCAGAGTTAATTTTCTGCACTTTTTTTTTTTCTTCTTTCCCTTTAGGTTGTGATGGTGGATTCCCTTATCTTATTGCTGGAAAATACACGCAGGATTTTGGCATAGTTGAAGAGGCATGCTTTCCTTATAAAGGCATGGATTCCCCCTGTATTTTTAAGAATGACTGTTACCATTACTACGCCTCCAACTACTATTATGTTGGTGGGTTTTATGGTGGGTGTAATGAAGCCTTCATGAAACTGGAGCTTATTAAGCATGGACCGATGGCTGTTGCTTTTGAAGTCTATAATGACTTCATGTACTACAAGGGGGGGATCTACCACCACACAGGTCTGATGGACCCTTTTAACCCTTTTGAACTGACTAATCATGCTGTTTTGCTTGTGGGTTATGGCAGAGATCCACATACTGGTGAGCACTTCTGGATTGTGAAGAACAGCTGGGGAACCTCTTGGGGCGAGGAAGGTTATTTTCGGATCCGGAGAGGCACTGATGAATGTGCTATAGAAAGCATAGCAGTGGCCTCTACACCTATACCTAGCATATAGCTGTGGAATTATTTCCAAAGACCTCTGCCCGGAGAGCAAGAGTGTCCATCCTAGAAGTGCAATGGATGATCATGTAATGATCTGTGGGAAAGACCTTGGGAGACTGGGCAAAGAGACGCTGCCAAGGGAACAGTCAGATAAGAGATAGCATAACCCGCAGCTATGGGGCAAGAGGCTCAGAAGGGACCCTCCCTAGTTTCTCAGGCTGTAAAGGTGACAAGGGGAGAGATGTACTTTCAGACTTGCAAGATTGATGTTGGTCTCACAGGGCAAACCAGATAGGAATCACAACCAGATGAGCTAATTCTACTTTATTGTAAAGCTACATTGACAGAATCTTGCAAGTCTGAAAGTACAGTCCTCCCCCAGGTCTCCTGTATAGCCCGAGAAACTAAGGAAGGTCTCTTCTGAACTTCTTGCCCAGTCTCCCAAGGTCTTTCCCACATACCATTGCAGATCATTACATATTTAGAAAATGTAATGGGTCCTTTCGCTGCCTAAAAAAGTGAACTTTAACAAAAACTTTCCAGACAAATTTGTTTTGCCATTTTTCAAAGGATGTTAAATGAGACCCATAATGGTTGGAAGAAAAGTTCAAAGAATTGGCCATGAAACATGTTGGTTGACTGTGGCTAACCATTCTGATTCAGTTTAGCTATTGCAGTAAGTTGTGGTGAAGGAAGCTTGACAATGGATTCATATTCTTAGCTTTCAAGCCAGAACTGGCAACTATGATTGGAAGCAAGTTTGCTAAGCACGATCTGTGTTATTTCAGTTTGGCATGATAGAATGACAGATCATGATTCAGACTGTTCTACTGTTATATCAGGAAAAGGTAGTGGTTAAAACAGACTTGAAGAATGGTAGTTTGGAATGGAAGTCCAACCATGGCCTGTTGTTTTCAACCATGGATAGTGCATCTTACATGGGCCAATGTCTTAGCCACACTAATCAGGTTTCTTAGGATAAAGTGGTGCAATCCCATACCTGAGCTTCATGGAAGAAAATGGTATGTTTTAATGTTTACAATCTAACTATGAATTCAATTACAGTGTATGATAACTCTGGATATTCAACGTATTATTCTCCCACACTTTTCTCTCCTCATCCAGCAGTCTTTTTTCCTTTGATTTTTGCCAGAAATATTTTTTTAAATCTGCAGTTGTATTTTTTTAATTGCTGTGCCTTACAAAAGAAATGAAGAAAATTGAATGTAGAAGAGAGTGCCTTACACGCAAAATGATTATACTGTGATTTCTTTTTTTTTAAAAAAAAGGGAAACAAACTACAACTATCTTTTTAACAAAATACCTGTGATGGCAACATTCATTTGATCCATGGTTTTAACAGTGCAGTCCAACCTTGTTTCCTTTTTTTGGTGATTTTCAGGTTTTTTATATGATTCTGAAATAAAGAAATGTTCCTCTGTTGCCTTGGGAGTTCTTTAAATAAAGCTTTCTTATTGCCTCTTTTAAAACTCAGTGGGAGGTTTAGGGAGGGACATGATTCTTTTGTGTAGGAACAACAGACAGTTCCTTCAGTGGAATTACACTTTGTTAGAACTTTACTCCCTTGCATCACATCGCCTGCCAAATTTGGAGCTTTAATATAATTTCTTACTAAAGTGTCATAAATTAAAATGTCATAAAGTCAATATGATTGGAGGATAACCTGTATATTAATTTCTCCCTTGTGTCACATTAAAGCTTAAAATTGGATAACAGTGTTTATTGGGGGGATAATTTGTTGTACCCTGCCCAGAGTCACTTTTTTGTGAGGTGGGTGGATATATAAATGTAATAAATAAAAATAATAATTTGGGACCGCACTTAAGACTTTTGGGCAGCCCTGAGACATCAGGCTTTGGATGTTTGTTGTGAGAGGACTGGAGATAGATTAAATGCTGTTGGGTATTGGTGGGGAGGTTAGATATTATGAACATATTACAATATCCTGATTTCTTTTAGAGGGGGTGAGATGGCTGTGTTCAAATTAAAGTGAAAATTGTGGAAGGGTAGAGGTCTCTCAACCTCCTTTCAACAAAGCCGCCTGCCACCACATATCATCCAGGGGGAGCCTCACCTTCTCTTCTCCCCCATCCGGGTGTTTCATGCTGGGCTGCCTTTCTGGTGATTAAACAGTTTAAAATGGAAATAATTTCAATAAGGGTACCCCTTGACCATGTAGAATAGAAACATATGACTACAAGTTTCAGTCTTTACTTCTCTCCTTGGGAGCTAGACCAGTCTCTCTAGAGATAAAATCAAACTTTATTTTTAAAAAAGCAGAAAAGACACAATATAAAATTGTTGAAAATTACGGAACGAAATGCAATGATCCAAGGAGACTGTAGAACAGTGCTGGTCAGAAAGAAATGAACACTTTTATCCTGTGAGATGGGAGATGATGCAATTTAATATACAGATTGCTAGAAATGTATCAAAAAAATCAATAGCTCTGTGCTCTGCTTGAGGACTAGAAAAATGTTGAAATTAGTCAATTCACTAATGTTTAGGGAGGCGAAAGAAGAAGAGCAGAGGTGGTGGTGGTGAGTACACTTGACTTAGAAAAAAACAAGACTAATGCAGATCATGTCTAAAACCTAAATCTCCATGTATAGAAATAGCACTTCTTTTCCCAACATTCCCCTATTTTCCCTGGGTCTTTTTTACCCCCCTGGAAATTCCAACTTTAATCTGAGGCTTTGAGGAATGATGGTGGTCCCACTTTTCTCAGGCTTGGTCTATACTGTAGCTTCTCAGTTTCCTCAAGTTCAGCCTCAAGATTTAAAATTTCCCAAAGAATTTTTATGTCCTGCAGAGGGCAGGGCTGAAGATATCTTTCTTGGGGTATGTGACAGCGGACATCACTCTCTAGCTGTATATGGGGAATGTCTGAGAATCTCTGAATGTTGCACCCTGTCAACTGGCAGAGGGTACATTCACAACAACTCTCAATAGAAAATATCTCTAGATCAAAGTTGAACTGTGGAGTTCTTGGTATTCTCTGAGTTTGGTTGTTAGCTTGTAGATGTTTCATTACCCAACTAGGTAACATTGATGTGGAGTTCGCTGCTTGTCTGTATATAGTAGCTTGCCCTGATAGTTTTGGTGGGAGTGTGTTTCCTCCTTGGTGGTTCCTTGATTATTGTTTTCTGTTGATTTCTGCTTATCTGTAATGGTATGTGGGAATGACCTTGGGAGACAGGAGGAAGAGCTGCAGCCTAGACAATGGTCTGGAGAATGAAATTTGGATGGGGGGGTGGAGAAAGTGTCTCGAAAGGGACCCTCCCTAGTTTTCAGGAGAGTAAAAGTAAGAGACGAAAGGGGTACTTTCAGACTTGCAAGAAAGCTAGTATTCATTCTTGTGCTTCTTGTCTGGACTACCTAGAAGGACTAATATCTGAGTGTTGGCTTAGCATTCTTAGGTTAGACACATAGAGATAAACCACATTCACACACCATTCATAAGAGGCAATAAAAAACGTAGGAAGGAAACAAAATAACACATCCCCTCCGGCAGCCAACACTCAGATAAGCAGGGATCAACATCAGGAGACAATCAGGCAGAAAACAGCAATCAAGGAACCACCAAGGAGGAAACCACACACCCCACCAACACTGGCAGGGCAACCCACTGTATATAAACAGGAAGCAAACTCCACACTCATTTGCACTGAGGACTCCACACAACACCTTCTGTCATAGATTTCGCATGACCTTTAGCTAGACAATTAAGTATAAGTGTCTCATGGGCAAAGTACACTTGCTAAAGAAACCAGGAAAATAGATTTGATTTCCTTTTTTTTTTCTTTTTAAGCCTACAGGCTTAAAAACATTCCAGCCCCTAATTTCCAGTCTGGCTCCAGACTCCCAGAGAACACCTTAAGACCACACTGCTGAAACTCAGTGGCAAAGTGACCAATTTTTGTTGCTTCAATATCTTCATTTTTCACCCAAAATTGGTCAAAAATGGAGGTGTTAAATGAGGCTAAAAATATCAGCCCCGTGGTGACTTCTCCAAATATCTTCTTTAGAGCCCACAGAGGTTGATTTTTAAAATATAAAAAGAGACTCTCCAGCCCAAACCAGGCTGTCCACGTGACTCAAACCCTATTGCAGTCCAGCATTATATACTTCTTGAAGCCTGACCTTAGCAAATGCTCCCTAGCAGCATAATTAGCAGGCTTACTCCTTTGTTAGTGTGTTTTCAGTATATTTTTATCAGGCGTTTCAAAGAAAATACATAAACAGGCAAAAGAAGAAGAACCATACAAAGAGACAAAAGTAAAATAGAAATGAGTAAGCAAGGGATATACCAATGCCAGAGAGGTGGTAATTTCCAGTCTAACACCAGTTGTTTGTGAATAACTAAAATATATTGTTTTGTTGGTATCAGTATTGCTTACATTGCTGGGGAGGAGGCTGCTTCATTGATGCGTTTGAGGTTGATGAAGTCTCAATTCATCATTGCTTTGATATGAGAGAAGGAATTCCCTTAGAATTATGCTTGACTCCTGGTGAGTTCATGGACAGATATGGAAATACTTTGCTATTGTTTTCTTGCAGAATGTTTTCCATCTCTCCAGTCTAGCTCATACTCCTGGAATTCTCTGTGGTCTCCCATCCAGCTCTAACCCTGCTGTTTTCCAGCCCACTCAATAGCAGCAGAACGCTGCCATCTGCTGAGACCACGTGAGAAATGCAGGGATAGAAAACTCACCCTCCAGATGCAGCTGACCTACAACTCCCAACAGACTTCACCATTGGCCAGCCTAATTAAGGCTGCTGGGAGTGGAAGTTTGATAACATCTGGAGGATCATCAGTTGCTCTCTCTTTGTTATTATTTCAAGAGTACTACGAAAATTGCAAAGCAATGACCAGATCAGATGAGAAAATTAAGGCAGGTTCTTATGGGAGCCATTCCGCAGACACATTTTGCAGACTCATTAGGTTCTTACAGGAAAATTAAATGCATGGATATTCAAAGATAACTCCTCCTGAATGCAGTGAGGCTTATTCCTAGGGAAGCAGACATTGGATTCCAGCTCTGGGCTACAGTCTATCCAGCCATGTCTTCTCCAGGAATACTATATTCCAGAGGCCCCTATTTCTTCAGCCTGCTGGGCACGCTCGTCTAAAACGCCTGTTGAGTGAGA